TAAGCTTCTGCTACCCCGGGACAGCTATGCAAAAAAGTGATCAGGGTCTTTATTTTCCCTTCATTTTTTTGTGGCACAGTTGTTACTGTATCTATTGGAAGCTTTGTGAATTTCTTATTTATGATGGAACGTGTAGGATAATGTAGCACATCGTATCTCTGCTGCTATACTGCTTACATTTATAACTATATATATATATAACTATACTGCTTATTTAAATGTTAACACTTATGAAGTAATAGTTAACACATCTGAATTTGCTTGAAGCTGTAAAGTATTCGTTAAGGACTTCAGGAACAGATTTTTAATCACTGCAAGCGCTGGTAACTGTGATTTAACAGATTAATTTCAAATTCTATTTACCGTTTCTTATGTACATTTTCCCACCTAGAAATACCGAGACCCTATTGTGTTAAAGCTCTTTCAGGGAATATGTGGGTGGCTCTTAAAAGAGCCTTTGGGTTCTAGTTTACAACCTTGGAGCTGGTGTACTTGGTGACAGCCTTGGTGCCCTCGGAGACGGCGTGCTTGGCCAGCTCGCCGGGCAGCAGGAGCCGCACGGCCGTCTGGATCTCCCGCGAGGTGATGGTGGAGCGCTTGTTGTAGTGCGCCAGGCGCGAGGCCTCGCCGGCGATGCGCTCGAAGATGTCGTTGACGAAGGAGTTCATGATGCCCATGGCCTTGGACGAGATGCCCGTGTCGGGGTGCACCTGCTTCAGCACCTTGTACACGTAGATCGAGTAGCTCTCCTTGCGGCTCTTCTTGCGCTTCTTGTCGCCCTTCTTCTGCGTCTTCGTCACCGCCTTCTTGGAGCCCTTCTTGGGCGCGGGGGCGGACTTGGCCGGCTCAGGCATTTTGACAGCGCTTTTCCTTTCTTTCAGAACAAGATCAGCAACTAAAACGGCCTCAGAGCGCTCTATTTATAGGGCTGTTATGCAAATACCAGCCCTCTAACTCGTACAATTCGATTGGACCATCACGCTCAGGGGTGTATCCTTGTCGCTGATTGGTCACAGTACGATCCGTCTTCTCATTGGTTGTATAAGCAATGACTGTTTCCAGCCAATCACCAAGGGCTGATCCCGCCCAGGGAAGGGATAAAATGGGACGAAGCGTTGCGTCAGTATGATTTTCTCTGTCTTGTTTTGCGAGCGGTGGTTGTAGTTTTTTCTAGCGCCTAAAGCATGTCGGGCCGTGGGAAGCAGGGAGGCAAAGTCCGAGCCAAGGCCAAGTCGCGCTCGTCGCGGGCCGGGCTGCAGTTCCCCGTGGGCCGCGTCCACCGCCTCCTCCGGAAAGGTAACTACGCGGAGCGGGTCGGGGCCGGAGCGCCTGTCTAGTCTGCCGTGCTGGAGGCCCTGACGGCCGAGATCCTGGATCTGGCGGGCAACGCGGCCCGCGACAACAAGAAGACGCGCATCATCCCGCGCCACCTGCAGCTGGCCATCCGCAACGACGAGGAGCTCAACAAGCTGCTGGGCAAGGTGACCATCGCGCAGGGCGGCGTGCTGCCCAACATCCAGGCCGTGCTGCTGCCCAAGAAGACTGAGAGTCATAAGGCGAAAAGCAAATAAGCTTAGCAAAGCTGCTCAGACTTCTCACAACTTAATATTATAACCCAAAGGCTCTTTTCAGAGCCACCCACGTTCTCAGAAAAGAGTTGTGTTGCTTTCTTTACAGAAGTGCTTTGGTGCTCAGTGTTTCTTTAGATGCTGCTTTTGTTAGGGACATAAAACCATGTTTTGTGGCGATGTCTTAAAACTTTTGGTTCCTACCTGGGAGGGGTGTTACATTTGCTTTCTAACTCCTCATCTTTTTAATGAAAGAACACTAGTTATATTTGGAGTGATTTATTGATTTTTTTTGTGTCTGTCTTGTAACTGGATCAGTAAAACACTTGTTATTGATGTTGAATCTGCTCAACTTTCATGACTTTACCGGCTTCTTATGGTGTGAAATATGGGGAGCGGGGTGGCTAAAAAACTGAAGGGGGAGTGGAAAAGGTTATGCAGCATGAAAATAAGTAGGAGACCATCCCAAACCTATAGAACTAATCTAAGAATAAAGAAAGGCTTCCTTTGTAGGCCTGTGTTCTTTAAAAGATGTAAAACTTCCCTGTGACTTAAGTGTATTTAAAAATAAAATGAGAAATGCTTTAGGGAAAATGTCTCATTTTGATGTAAACCCTTAACTAGTCAGACCTGCACTGTAAAGCAACAATGTAGCAGCTTTCCATTCGGAAGAAACTCCTTGCAGCACTGGTATGTTCCTGTTTTAAGTGGGATTTTCAGACTTGCCACTCTTAAATTCCCTCACTGTGCATAGCTATTCCTCTTCTTACATCAGTTAACAGCAGACAATATTATATGAATTCATCTTCTACATTGTTGGCACAAGTATCACCCAAGAGCACAAAGGTAAAGCTCTTTAGATTCACTGTTGTGAACCATGAGACAGACTGCCTAGCTGACCCCTCTTGCTAGAATGTTCCCAGAAGCTGTACCTGATGATCTGCAGCACACTGCATTGGGGCCATAGCTCCCACTTGTGCAGCACCTCTGCCCTCCCCATGCCTTGGGGAGAAGGAAGAGTGCTCTGGGCCTGGAGGAAGGAAAATATCACCTATAGCAAGGTACTACCCCCTGTGTCTTCCCACCCCACCCCCAAGCTGTAGCAGAGAAGCTGTTTAGGTAGGACTGTATCATGGCCAAAGTCGCATATCAGGGATCATTTGTGGAGAGAAACATAAAGGAAGAGAGCTGTCTGGAGTACCAGACTATTCTGATATGGTGACAGTATCTGCCTAAAGGTTTTGTTTGCAAAAGGATACATTTAGAGCTGTAATGTTTTCACTAATCTGTTTTATTGATCCTCGTTAGCTACAGCTATGTGTCTTCTAGCACTTATACTTCTCTTCTTGAAGAACTGCAATGATATAAAAACTGTGTTTTTACATGCAGAAGTCTTCTATGTTTACTTTCCACAACAGCTCCCTGTATATGTGTGTGTCGGAAGATAGCAGTCATAGAATGGTTTGGGTTGGAAGGGTCCTTTAAAGATCATCTAGTTCACCCTCCCTGCCATGGGCAGGGACATCTTCCACTAGTTCAGGTTGCTCAAAGCCTCACCCAACCTGACTTTGAACACTTCCAGGGATGGGACATCCACAACTTCTCTGGGCAACATGGTCTGGTGTCACACCACCCTCATTGCAAAAAAATTTCTTGCTTATATCTAATCTAAATCTACCCTCTTTTAGTTTAAAACAATTGCCCCTTGTCCTGTCACCTGTCTCTTTACCTGCCTTGGTAAAAAGGTCTTTCTCCATCTTTCTGTGTTGAAAAGCTGCAATAAGGTCTCCCCAGAGCCTGTTCTTCCCCAGCCTGAACAACCCCAACTCTCTCAGCCTTTCTTCATGGGAGAGGTGTTCCAGCCCTTTGATTATTTTTGTGGCCCTCCTCTGGACCTGCTCTAACAGGTCTGTGTCTTCCTGGTGCTGGGGACCCAGGAGCTGGATGCTCTCAGGTGGGGTCTCATGAGGGCAGAGTAGAAGGAGAGAACCACCTCCCTTAACCTGCTGGCCATGCTGCTTTTTATGCAGCCCAGGATATGATGGGCTTTCTGGGCTACAAGTGCACATTTCTAGATCAAAGCACTGAAATTCCAGAGAAAGCCCATGGGGGTGGGGTTACCTGTATCCAGGAGTGGGATTTCTCTTTGAACAGATTCCTATATGTGGAAATCAGAGTTGGTACCACAGGAGAGGGCCCTGAGGTGTGCAGATAACTCCAGCACATATATCCAAATTGGTCTTGTCATCTGACCAGAAATTCGTTATTTTCTTCAGAATTTCATTCCAAACACCTCTTATTTCACTCACTACTCTGCTCACCTCAGTAACTGGAGTTTCGCCCTCTGTGATACTTATGTCCACTTCTTAACATTCCCCATTTTTGTTCTTAGCCACTAGTGGTTGCACCAGTTGTGAAGCCTGTGCTGCCATAACACTGATGAGGCCTCAGATGTAAATGTAAATGTCCTGTAAGTCAGATGGATTATATGATAAGGTGCTGGCAAATCTACTCGTATTAAAGACTTGTGGGTTTCAAGCAAATTCCACTGGATGAAGGAATGTATCAAAGCAAGTTTAAATAAATGAGCTTTCTCTCAGTTGCATATACAACAAACACTAGTAAAGAGGAAATCCATACCATATGGTGCCTGAGCTGTATCACTGGGTTCCAATACACCTTCACATTCCAAAGAACTTGGGATGCAAAAAAAACCCTCTGACCAAGCTCCCTCAAATGTTATAGATCACAGTTATGTTTAGGGGTAACTCAATAATGTTGAATACATAAGAAAAGTGAATAAGAAAAATGAATACATCAGAAAAGTCTTAGAATTGCATAGTTAAAAAGTAAGATGAAAGGCATTTCTATCCCTGTTCACTTTTACTTTGTTTGCAATGTTAGGAATAACATATTCTATTAAAAAGATCTTACATGCCTTTAGTTTGCATATTATCATTATTATTACTGTTGTAGCAGATACAATATGGATTGAAATTGCCATATAGGCTCTCAAGAAAATTAAAAGCAACTTTGCAGTTGGATATAATACACTGATGTGATGATTTTTATTTACTAATTTATGTAGTCTCACACAGTTATGGTGAGATGTTCCCTTATTGCAACAAAAAAATGCGATTTCCTCATTATAGTTTAATGAGGAACTAGGGTGACTGTCATAATTACAGCACACTTGAAAAGCTACAGATTTTTTTTTTTTTAAATGGAACAGAGTTTTGCAAAGGTTTCTGTTCTCATTTAACTCCTAGAACTATGTGTCCATACTCATGAGGAAAATGTGGTACCTCTAATCTGGGGATTGGATCCTAAACTTTGATCCAAATAATAATTATTGTCTCCAATCAACAGTAAAAGCAACTTCATTAGGGATTATACTCAGCAGCAAAGTTTTCTTTCTGCATTAATTATTTATGTCTAAGAAAACCTTCTGGTCCATGAGAGAACTATGTCACTAACAGAAACAGGAAAAGTGTCTGTGGCCACTTGTAGCAACCTACAGGCAAGGCAGCCTTCTAGAAAGCATGATATTAAATTATATCGAATGTGCTCCACACTTTGGGAAAAGGAGTTTACAGCTAATTAATCTCTAAGCTACTGGTCTCAGCCTCTGCATCACCCATTTGTGCCAGGACACTTTGGAAGATTATTTGCCAAATGGTTATCCTGCTAAAGGGAAAAAGTTATACTAGGATACACACCCTGCATTTAGGAAGAGTTATGAAGAACAGATGATTGTGGTACACTAAAAGATTTTGTGCAATTCCTTTAGGCTTCCCCTACTATTTAGAAGGTTGTTTATAACTGCCTCAGGAAACATATCTAGACACAGATCTTCAGGTATAAAGAACAAAGGAGACTTTGTGGAGGCAACTGGTAATGTTAGACACCAGCCTGGTGGGTCCACTAGTGAGAGACATTCCAGGTAGACTATAAACAGTTTTAGTTCATTCTGTTCAGTCAAAAAGCAAACATAATCTAAATCAAAGCTAGTTTTGCTTGCTCATGTCATATATATTTGAGTGGCAAATCTTTCACTTTGTTTAAAATAACAGTTTGAATGAAAATTGAATTCACAGTGATAATTATAATCATGGAAAAGACTTGTACTTTTTTGGACACCTGTAACAATACATTAATATCTCAATCATGTTTCCCCTTGAATTTAGCAAATATATTCTGCCAAGAAATATTCTGGAGAGGTTGCCTAAATTCTGTAAATTATGTTCAGGAATGAAATTGCATAAAGAACTGTACAAATTGTAAAGGATATAAATCATTTTCAAATGGTACATGTGTTTGAAGTGCACAAAATACTAATAATACGACAATTGAGAAGTACCATAGCCATATCACTTCTATTCTGAGTGTATAAGTAACATTCAAAATCTTAATACATTTAATTTAAAAATACAGCCTCATAATTCTTTCAGTATTTATTTGTCTACTTTACAAATACAATCCAACCTACTCTAAGCAGCATGTATGTGAGGTTTGTTAGCAAAAGTGTGAAATACACAGCAAAATTTCTGGATTGCTCATTTGAAGAAAAAAATATTTGGTTATTGTTCGTTTCTGAGATGTCATACAGATATCTGGATGGTAAGGTCTTTAATGTTTTCTTTCCCTTGTTGGATGCAGCTGCACGTTAGCGAGCGCTTCTCTATTTCAGAGGCCGGCAGCTGCCGGGAGCGAGCCCGGCGCCCTGCGGCCAGCGCTGC